AGCACAAGCTAGAATGATGAGAAAAAAAAAGAGAACAAACCAAGGATATTGAGAGACAGGTTAGAACAGTGTAAGAATGCTTGGCTAGAATTATATAGCTGGTGACCGCTGGCGTCAGTGCAGCAGTAGGATGGCTATAGAGTAAATTCTTACAGGCAAGACGGGGTCCCTAGAAAGTGGCTCTTGCCAATTAGAACCATGTTCTGTTCATTTATACATGTAACCAATATTCACAGAATGCTTGTTGAGTGCCAGAAATTGTATTAGACATAATATAGGCCAGGGCAGGTTCCATGTTAATGTGTGTTGTTTTTTTAGGAAGACAAAGAAAGAGGAAGAGGAAGAGAAGGAGGAAGCTTTTTTTTATGTTTACTATTTTACATTATGTAGGTCAGATTCCTTGGGAAATGGAATCTGAGATTCTGAGGCCTTCCTGTAAGTGTTCATTGAGGGTGCACTTAGACCATTTGTGAGAGGGAGGGAAGGAAGAAGGGAACAGGACTTAGCAGCAGGAAAAACTAAAAGGCAATGCAGCTGCATGGAATCAGCTGTTCTCTGAAGGACCCCTGGAGCTGAGTGGGCCCTTTAGAGTTGTCTTGGAGCCTGGCCTTTGTACTGCAAGTCAATTAGCCATTGGATACAGCAATATCAGGGAGGGTCATAAGCCTTGGTCTAGGCAGTTCCCTTCTGCTGATCCCAGTTCTGGGACAGGAGCTCAGCTGTGTCATCAGAAGCCAGCCCTTCTCCCAGGAACTGGACAATGAATAGCTCAGTGCCGAGGAGGTAGGGGGATCTGGGTGCCACACCACTCTATCCACTATGTATGAGGAAATCGAGGCACAGAGAAATTAAGTAACTTACTCAAGGTCCCACAGCAAGTGAATGGTAGAGCCAGCATTCACACCCAGACCGTCTGGTTCCAGAAGCTAAGCCTTCAATTACTAATCTCTATGCTGTATATAAAAAACCTACCAAAATGCTGTCATGATTGGTCAATAAATTATAGCTATTTTATTTTGGGCTCTGGAGGTGATTATTCCCTTCTATCAGCCCTAATCCTTTCAGCTATCTGGGAGCTCAAAACGGTGGCTTTAAGTATTTTTGTAAAATTGTTAATACTATTTTTGACTCTGTTGAGTTTAAGAGTTCCACAGATTAATGCATTAACCTGATTATGAAAATTAAATGTTGGTCCCAAGTACTGAAGTGGGTCCTCTATTGTGAGCTCACTGTTCATGGTCTTCCTTGGAGTTTGGACCAACAGAACATCCTCAAGAATCTCTCTTCCCTGGTCCTGCTTTGCCACCCCTGAGGAGCTATGTAATGAAGTCTCTGTGATGAGGAGAAACAACATTTGTGGAAGACTCAGGCACTGGAAGCCTGAGCCAACACGAGTACCCTGAGGATGTCCACAGCACTGCCTTGTTATCACACCCAGCTTTGGGGACTTCTCACTCACTGCTCTCTGCTTGAGCCTGCAAACTCTATCTCCAGGACTGTCCCAGTGCTGAGGGCACCCACCTGGGCAGCTACAGCAGGGCAAGAAGTGTCTCCACAGGGGTTCTCCTCTAACAGAGAAGCTGGAGTATACAGCCTGCACAAGGAGATACTTGAGCAATGAAGCGGGTGGGTGACCCTTGCCTGGATCTATGACCCACCAATCAGGGTACTCAGTGAGGAGACCCATGTCTTACTAAATCATCCTCTCCTCTGTACAACCTCTACTCAAAGATAAAATGACTAGAGTTCATCACCACCCTCCCATGTTCTCTTTCCTTTGTCCACTGCTTACACCATTCTGAGTGCTTCTCACACATGAGATTATTTATCCCTCATGGCCACTCTGTGGTTATGAACTATTTTCATTTCTATTTGACAGATTTATTTCATTTCTATTTGACAGAAATGGAAAGTACAAAGAAATATCTAGCCCAGGGTCACAGAGCTAGTAGAAGTACCATCCCAGAGAGCTCATGACCCAAGAGCTCCTGCTTGTAACCAATGGGCACACTGCCTCTCCCTCCCAAGAGAGAATTGGCTGCCTCTTCCCAGGGGTCAATTTACTCTCTCATGAGGCAGAGACTCAGATCTCCCTTCTCCTTCTACTCTCCTTAGGCACTAGGCATGAATTGGTCACCATGACCAATTCTCAGTGACACCTCTCATACTCCATTTCACCTCACCCCTGCCACCAATCCTAAGTTTCTTCATTTTGAATTCCCTGGGACAACTTCAGAAGGAAATGAGGCATGCTCAGAATGCTGACTTCCACTAAGATGGACTTTGCTCTTAAAAGGGGGCATCACTGATATTCAGCCAAGTAGAGAGTAAAGCTGTTTTAAGGGGAGGGGTGGAAATTTCCTAGAAAGCAAGATGCGGGGGTACTGACCTCAACAAGGTTATGTAAAATAAATTTGAAGATGTTATAGCAAGTTATGACACTCTATAACTTTAGAAGTGCAGCCATTAACTAATCCATTCATTAACACTAATTAATCATTAGGAAACATAACCATTAATCACCCCAGTAGACCTCAAGAGCTAGAAATTTTAAGGCCCAACATTTTACCTTAAATAACATATTTGAAATCTATCCTTAAATTCATCCTCCGAAACACATTCAACCCATCTTCATCAATTGAAGAACTGTGTATAAAGTCATACTTTCAAGATGATACCTGACAGAACTGAAAAAGGAAACAGTCACAGGTAAGCCCCACATTACTCATTTCTAGGACCAGAATACATCAGAAGAGACTAATTGTCAAAAAAAGCTAAGTGCAAAAAAAGCTAAGGTCAAGTTCAATCAACATACCAAGTCACCTAGTTTTTATTATGGGGGTACTCTAGGCCAGCCAAAGTAGCAAATACAATTTAGAAGCATAGACTGTTAGGTCTGGCAAGGGCCTAGGGAACAAAATTCCTGTATTGGAGTCATTTACAAATAATTCGATTGGAATGTTAAGGTTCACGTGTAGGTGGAAATTAGAAAACAATACTATACAATACTAAACAATTTTTACAGAGATGATATAAAAATTCAGGGAAAGGAAAACGAATTGGGGCTGGAGTTGGTCAGCAGAGATTTTAAAGAGAATGTGGGATTTCAGGTGATCTACGAAAGTATCAAAGTAGTGGAGAGGCAGGTAGGCCTCTCGTTCAAGGGTAATGTGAACATGGCAATGACAGCAAGAAGCCTAGGAAGCAACACTGGAGAAGACACTGGCCTTCCTTAAGAAGAGGTCTGCCTTCAAGGGGAGAGGAGGATCTGAAGCCTGAGTAGGCAAGTTGAGCTATTAAATCAGGAGTTTGGAAATGGTTCCATAAGGTAGTAGGGAGCCACTGTAGTTCTTAAGTAACAGACCACACTTCTCAAGCAGGCTCATGATATTTAAAACAAAACTAAACCAAAAACAGTGCTTTGGGAAGATTAATCCGGAATCTGAGTGGTAGACAGATAGATTGATAATGAGAAGACAATAAAGAGATGATTTGGTCATCCAGATACAAATTAATAGAGCCTGCAATGAGAAGAGCAGTAAGATTAGGGAAAAAAAGATGAACATGGCAAAAGGAAAAATAGAGGATTTGATGGCTAATTAGTTAGGGAAGCACAAAGGAGATTAACACTAGGAAATAACAGTGTCTTTGACAAAATAATTGTCTTTTTTCATTCTTGGAAATATGAGGTTTCTAACCAAGCTAGAATTAAGTCAGAAAGCTGGTTCGTGGGAGTAGGTGATAAATCTGTTCTTAGCCATGCTTAGTATGAGGTGGGGTGCTGGATTTGGATTTGATTAGGCCATTAATCCCGCCTACAGACACCCCTCTCTTTTCATTGACCATTTTAAATATAAAGCCAACAGGTACGCAAAGCTGAGATTTTTACTGTATTATTTTAGCTCTACAAAAGAATTTCTTATTGTTCTGTTTTCATTTTTGTTTGTTTGTTTTTATCCCCATAAAATTCTATGATTGAAACAAGCCTTCACCTTGGTATTTTCAAACACATTAGAGCTGTATTCTGGGCTCAGATCTTTCAGACAAAATCAAATGACCAAAGAAAAAGAAGCAGAACCTCCAGGCCTGATTTGAACTTTCTGAATTTCCAACCCTTAGCATTTCAGAGTGTCACTTTCTCTGTTCATGTATAACCTCTGCTTAGAAGTATGATTCCAAAGGATTGGAATATTTTGTCCGGTTTCTGAAATGATATGTTTATATGGCACTCTGCATTTTAAAAATCTCAAACATTAATTTGCATCATCCCTAAAGGATATACTATTTTTAGCTTTTAATGCTAAAAATTATTTTACATGTTCCCAAAACATTTTTTAAAAATCTATTTCCCTCCCATTCATTCACACTTCATTCATCAGAATGCAGTCAGCCAGGCAGAAAGACAAGAAGGGATCAAGTCATATGATTGGTTTCTAAATAGTTGAAAATCTGTATTTGCCATTTGGTTGGGTGATTTGTCCTTAAAGATGGAATCTTGAGCCTATAAAAAATAGAAGTGGAATCTGAACATGGCAAAATATGTTTGCTTGTCTTAGATAAATCTGTTAGTCTGTGTGTGCTGTAAAATGGCATTATTCTTCCATTGGAAATTACACTTCCTACGCAACAGATGCCATTCTGCCTTTCTCACAGACTTCCTTAAGCAAAGTTCAAAATCTCTCTTCCATTTGTAGTCAATCTCATGGTGAAACCATTAATTTAGTCCCTCATTTGGAATCATCTGAGAAGAGCCCCCAGATAAGATTCTTTTGAAAACTCATTTAACAATTAGCCAACACAAAATGTAACTATCGATAACTTCTTAATTAGGCTTCTCAGAGCAAATTATCAAGTAAAAGAGAAAGCCAAAACTCAAAAACAATGAAGAAGAAAGACAAATAATGGAATTTTGCATTTAACAAAATTCAGAGGTAATATATGTAGAAGTACTGATATTATAGACACATAGACTGTTCTCAGAGATGTTCATATGGACTTACCAGATTAAGGAATGTCAAGTACTTCCACCGCTGGGCATTTGGAAAGATTTTGCGTTTCTGTGGATCCCGTCCTAGTTGAAAGATGTAATAATTGATGAAAATATACCAGCTCAAAACAAGGGAGTGATATATGCACGTAGAAGTCCTCGTCATGGCTAGCTTTGACAAGGGAACTGCGAATGTCTTAAGTAGCTTTCTTCTGGTGTCCTTCCCTTAGGTCAGAAGTGAAGTCCTACAGCAGGCTGGAGAGCTGTAAAACACGACCTCTGAGACTGAGTGTTCCAACAAAACTGAATTTTGCTTCCTATATAGATAGGCTCCCTTCCTGCTAAACTGGTGACAGGATTAGTGCTTGTTTTTAGATGTCTTGTTTAAATAATAGGTAATCTCAAGAGTTGCATAAAGGCAGCAATCAGTGCAAAAGATGCACGTGTTTGAGTGGGATGGGAGCATGGTTAAGTAACCTTATTATGAAGTACCAATAAACTCTGATGAAATACCGTCGTAGCTATATTCTCTTTTCTTTTCATTTGGTAGAACAAGGAAATGGCAAGAATATCTCTTGTGAAAATGAAGAGCAAGTTGATAAACCAAGAGGGAGAGATTGTGGGCATGTTTAGGACGTGGAAGAAGATAAGTAGAAAGGGAATGGGTATTGTAATCTTGCTCCTGAGATCTCCTAGGCCCTGTAAAATCTGAAACAACCTTTGATCCTTCAGGTAGCAGCCCCAAAGTTTCTTTTGTTTGTTTGTTTGTTTGTTTGTTTAGTTTTGTATCTATACCCTAGAGGACCCAAGTTTACCGGGGGCTGTCCTAGACACTTTATTTGAACAGGTGTTCTCTGCCCTGGAGGGAAGAAGCATAGCAAGTGATCTGTGGCCAAAACAAAAGCATAGAAAGAAGTGTGTGGTCCTGACCCCAACATACCTGAGTTGAGACATTGCTAGGAGAGAGTAGGGGTCTTTGCATTGCCTTGGAGAGGACAAGTATGTGCTTAGGCTGGGAAGAGTTTGAAGAACTGAGACCTGCCTCAAGCTGGAAAGAAGGGACCTGAGAGCTAAGGGTGTGACAACTTGTGACATCACCAGCTTGTTTCCCTGGGCAACTGACTCAGAAGGTTCTGAACAAATTCCTGAGAGAAATGTTCCCAATGCAGTTATAGAAGTTTGTTGGTGGTGTTCTCTGATGATTTAACCAGAGTTTACAAGTACTGGGAGGAAGAACTGCTGTCTGTACATAGAGGGCAAACAAACTCACAGTCAAGTATCGGAGACAGATATATAAACAAAAAATTACAGCACTGTAATAGAGGTACATATAACTTACTAATATAGCCTAGATTATCCTGCGAATTACTCTGTCATTCTAAATATACAGAAGATTGAGTTAAAGATGAATGCAGTGACTAAATTATGGGAAACACCAGACATCGTGTAAGAGAAGATGAGGATTAAAGTAATATCACTGAGCAAAGTAGTCATGGCCACTAACACAGATAACACTTTTGCCTGATGGAGATTATCATGCATTCCTAGACCAGTCGCAGAGTAATGAGATGCAAAGAGCAGGGGATCAAACCTGGGCTTGAGTCTATGGCATGACCTTGAGCTGATCAATCACCAGCCTCATTGGGATGTTAGTTCCTTTGAATGTGAAATGGGGCTCAAAGAATCTGGAGTGCTGATTGTCTCATTTCCTAAAGCCAGGACATCTACAGAGCTAAAGGAGCAATTGACCAGGGCCAGCCTCTGAAGAGACTGGAGAGAAGTCCCAAACCCACTTAGATACACCCACTCCCACATGTACCATGGAACCATCTATAGTGGAACGTATTGGAAGATCCTCCATAGTGATGGCTACAGGTAGCATAGTGGTGAGAAAGAAATAGGGATAGCAAAGACACAATTCTTAGGGTTACGGTGATAAAGTTTGAGGGAGTATAGTTATATTCTAGCACAAGAGAGAAGCCCCTCCAGCTGCTGATGCTAAACAAACAATTAACCAATAAATCCTAATTACTTTAAGTTCCAATACAAGACACGTTGGCAGGACTTATCTGTACTCCACTTACCCTCTTAACCTGCACAGAGCCATTCGAGATGGTTTATTCCCTTTAAAGCTGATATATAACTCCACAGCCCTTATAAGTTCTCTTGGCTTTGCCCACCCTTTGGTCAATAGTCCCATTATTAAATTCTCAGCAAATGAACTACTTTTCCTGCTGGAACTCTAACTGATGCAACCAATTAGACTGTGAGTTTCTCCAGGGGTGTCTGATATAACTCTGGGCACTATTCGTGGTAGCAGGTAACTTCCAGATGCTAATAAAGATATCTTCGCATGGATCAATTTTGGTATTGTGGTATTCTTAATATCTACCTAGGAGGTCTTTAACCCTTGGGTTTCCTGATTATTACCACCCTCATCATCCAGTGCTGTTTGTATTTCCCTGAAACCTCCACTGCCTCTGAACCAACATCGCCCTCACTATCTTCTAAAGTCCTCTTCCTGATAAAAGGTAGGTAATTCTGGAAACACTTAAATATAAGTGTATTCTCCAGTTGAAGCCAACATGAAAGGAGACTAGGATTTTCCTTCCAGTGGACTTTGCATCCCTTGTCCATTTGCTGTAAGTGTGGCTGAGAACTGAGTTAGAATGAAGCTCACCTGTTGGGTTGATGAGAACCTATGTGGGTTTCTAGTCACCAAAACAAGCCAACTCTGAGAGACACTGGGACCTATTTTTTTAGACTATGAGAACTTCCTGGTTCACCACTTTGCCTGTGCATTGGGAAACCTGATTCAGATCTGCCTTACACTTTGATCTCCAGCTTTGCTTTCACAGTGGAATGTAGTGTTCTTTGGTGATCTCAGACTCACCATGAGGAATAGGGTTCTCTGTTGATAGTTTTGAAGGTACATTTTCAGTTGGGAGATGAAAGAATGCTTCCTGTTCACAAGCATGAAATTGACTCATATTGTTTTAAAAGTTTAGAGCAGGAAAGAACCATATGAGGTCAGCTGACTCATCTTTTTTATATTTCCAGTGAGAAATTAAAGCTCAGAGAGGTTAAGGGACTTATCTAAAGTCACATAGCTATTGATGGAGGAGCCATGACCAGAACACGGATCTCTTTATCAATCAGTGCAGTAACCTTACACTATTTCTTGAATTACTCTGTTTTGTACCCAAGTTCTGAATTTCTCTTGCATGAATTCGTTTGCATATTATTTGATTTTATGAGGTCTGATGAATTTATTAAAGAGAAACTGTACTTAGGAACACTTTTGTTTAGACTGTCAGGTTTTACATGTTTTTTGAATACCCTGTTAATCAGAAATGCATACATTTTCTCATAAGAAAACTCAGATATTTTATATAGATATTCATATCTTATATTAATCAGCAAAATATTCAATGTTGACCACAAGCACATTCCATTTTCAAGCTTTTGAGTGTCTCGTGTGAATTCCTGCTTTCCTGGGAAATTTACCACAGAAAGAACAGCAGTTAATTCTGGTTATCTTGTTTTAGTAGTCTATAGAGACATGTGTGTTAGTCATGGATACTTGTATACATGAACTGCACTCTGATTTGCTGATTTTCTATCTAATAATTATATCATTTGCTAAAAGGCAGGGGGTGTTGCAGTCCCTAACAATAATTAATTATGAATTAGTCTATTTCTCCTTTCAGCTCTATCAGTTTTTGCTTTTTGTATTTGAGACTGTCATTTGGTGCATATACCTTTAAGATTACTATGCCCTCCTAGAGATGGATCTTTTATCATTATGTAATGTCTGTCTTTGTCTCTAGTAAGTTTCTTTGCTCAGATAAAGTCTACTTTGTCTGATATTTATATTTGTATCCCTTTTTTAAATCAATGCTTCAATGGTATATATTTTTCAATGCTTTTAAGGTCAATCTACCTATATCATTGAAAAGTGTCTTGTAAACAGTATAGTCGGGTTATTATTATTATTATTTTTTTAATCTACTGTGCCAATATCTGCCTTTTAATTGGTGTATTTAGGCCAATTTAGGACTATCTGCCTTTTAATTGGTGTATTAGGCCTTACATTTAAGGTTGTTATTGATATGTTGGGGCTTAAGTCTTTCATTTAATTATTTCCTATTTCCTGTATCTCTGTTTCTCCTTTCTTGCTTTTCTGAGTGTTACATGAACACTTTGGGGGATTCCATTTTGATTTATTTATGTTCTTGGCTGTATTTCTTTGTATAGTTTTCTTAGTGGTTGCATGGATATGATGATATACGTATGTGACTTTTTACAGTCTACTGGCATTAACATTTTACCACTTCAGATGAATTATGGATACCTTACTTCCATTTTAGTCCCTTTACCTTTCCTGGTTTTAACTATATTTCTGAGCATCAGATAATGTTACAATTTGTGTTCTAACGATTAAATATGATTTTTAAAGTTCATGAGAAGAGTTAGTCTATTGTATGTACCATATTTCTTTTCTTTACATTGTTCTTTCATCGTTTCCAATGATTCAGGTTTTCGTCTTTAATCATTGTCTTTCTGTTTGAATTACTTCCTTTTGCCATTCTTTAAGGGCAAGTCTGCAAACAACAAAATTCTTTTAAGTTTTACTTGATCTCAGAATATCTTTCTTTCCCTTTAGTTCTTGAAGAACAGTTTTGTAAGATTAAAATTCACCGTTGACAGTTCTTTTCTTTAAGCACTTGAAAAATGTTATGCAACTTCTAAATATTCTGGCTTCCATGGTTTTAGATGAGAAATGTGCTTTTATTTGAATTTGTGTTTCCCTATGGCTAATGTGTCATTGCTTTAAATACTTTTTGTATCTAGTTTTCAGAAGCTTAATTATGATATGTTGTGGCATGTATTTATTTATCATTTCTTTATCATATTTAGAGGTTACTCAGTTTCTTAAATCTGTAGATTTATATCTTTTGCCAAATATGAGAAATTTTCAGCCTTTATTATAATTTTTTAAAATATTTTTTCAATCCAACTCTTTTTCTGCTTTCCTCTGGGATTCTAAAATGAAATTTGGATCTTTTATTATTGTTGCACAGTTCCATGAGGCTCTGTTCATTTTTTTTCCAATCTATTTTCTCTCTGTTTTTCAGATGGAGTAAATTCTATTGATCTGTCCTGAAGTTCACTGTTCTATCCTCTGACATTTCCACTCGACTATTGAGCTCATCCAGAAAGATTTTTTTTTCTGTTATTGTATCTTTCAGTTTTATAATTT